CACACACACTTGTTCCCGACGCCTTCCTGCGGGCAAGGCTTGGACGATACGCCACGACCGCGGCATCGTGCATCCGCGACGCACGGGCACACTCTTTTACCACCTCTCGAAAGGGTTCGCTCCCGAGGCCAGTGGCCTTCGTGCGGTCGTCTACCACAACCCGCCAGTCGAGCGGACACATCGACGTAGACGGTCCCCGGCAGACAACCGCAGCCACCCTCGTCATCGCAGATACCACGGCTTGAGAAGCGCACCATCCATGCGCGCGAATCGCGGTCTACTGTACCTTGCCCAGCTTGCGCCCGCCATGTCTGTACGGCCACATCCGTCAGCGCCTTGTGCGTGCCAACACACAGGCTCACGCACCGCTACCCGCTCTAAGCCAACGACTCCGCACCCCCACCCGGTCTTTCTTCGCCACGTCCGCCGTCCGCGCCGGTCCCGTGCATTACTTATCTTGATTTATGCTCAAACCCGCTCTTGAGGTTGAGGCTTGGGACACGATCGTCAACGCGAAAGCGCAAGTTTAGGATAACGAGTGTGGGAAGGAAGCATTGAGAATGTCAAGGCCAAGATCCAGGATAAGGAGTATAGAAAGGACGGATCCAGGTGCGGAGAATCGTCATCATACACACTTTGGTCTTGCTGACATGTTCCCTCAGTCTTCTATGCGCCACCGCTACACGTATCCTCCGTAAGCCCGCGCCCGACGTCGAGTCGACCGACGCGATCGACAATGACAAGGCCAAGATCCAGGACAAGGAGTAACGTAAGAATGCAGCTGGGTGCGCTGCATTCTCATCATACACACTGTGGTCGTGCAGACCTGTTCCCTCAGTCTCCTATGCGCTGCCGCTGCGACGCGATCGACAATGTCAAGGCCAAGATCCAGGATAAGGAGTATAGTAAGAAAGCAGCTGGGTGCGCTGCATTGTCATCATATACGCTGTGGTCTTGCTGACATGCCCACTCAGTCTACTATGCGCGGCCGCTACACGTATACTCTGCAAGCCCGCGCCGGAGGTGGAGTCGACGTACATGGTTGACAATGTGAAGGCGAAGATCCAGGATAAGGACTATAGTAAAGGAGTATCAAGGTGCGTTGCTTCGTTATCGTACGGGCTGCGGCCAATCTGACATGCTTTCTAGGTCGCCTTTGCATCGCCGCGGTGCACCGCATCCGCAAACCCAGAGCATCGCATCATGAACATTCCGCATCACATTACT